AGTATCAGTGATGGTATGTGTATCATTTAAATTATTGCGATGATCGGTGTAGATGGGCATGGCGATGTTGATGAGCATCTTCTTATGTGCAGCCTGGGTGTGTGTGTGTGTGTGTGGAATTGAAATGATGGATGAGCGAGTGCGCTAAAAGTGGGGAACTTCCACAGGTGCCGCGATTGTCCCGACGATATGATTTGATGTGAGGAAGAGGGGGCAGAGGTGTGGCTCCTCTCATCCGGACTCCAACTTCATCCCGGCCAGCTCCCCCAAACAGCAGCAGCGGGCCCTTCATTGCTATAGCCGCTAGCTCCTCGGCCCTCCGTGAACGAGAGAAGCAGCAGCTCCCCCGGAGCAGCAGCACACCTGTACAGAAGGCCACTAGTACAACAGGCATGGAAGAAGCGAATGACCAGGACGACGCAACAAGCACATTCTACGCTGATTATTTCATTGACTACGGCAAATGTTAGTTTTCCTTGTTTGTTGCTCGGTCACTGCGCGCTAAAGGTACAAATGGTTCTGTTCCCTCAGAATTGAGTTGTTCTGTTAATTTAGTTCATGTCTCAAGTGACCACTCGGACAAGTGATCTTTTATGGCTATCAAAATTGCGACCCGGTGCCTGCTGTAAAAGTCCTGGTGTAGCTACGCGCATGCTATGACTGTGTACAGCATCGGAAGTTCCATAGTAGTCGTGCTTTTTACAAGGTAACTTTAGTTATTCAGAATTTCGTGTGCCTGAGGTTCCTTCACCTCACCGGAGTGATAAATGTTTGAAAGCTGCTGCTCGTTTGAACATTTGCGTTAGATCTTCATCCAAACTACCACTGTCCAGAGAGGAATGCCGGACGAAATTAACGGTGCGGAAAGCGAAACAGATCATGAGGACAGTTTCTGTCGTCAACAGATCGCGGATGGATTATGAAGCAGCGATCATCCGAATGGTAATGATAATAGGAACAAGGATATCGGCAGATTACATCGTGTTCACAGCGTAAATCACGCTAGAGCTATTCAGCTGGAGATTAGTAGGATGGACATAATCCACCCTATTTATCAAAATAGTGCTCGAATTATAGCTACTGCGTATATCAGTGAACTTCAGTGTCGTGCCAGCTTTCGACAAAGTGATTGAGGCGTCTTCCTGCTTTTCTGCTTCATTTTTTTTAATTTAGCATTTCTGAGATTTTTCAGCGTTGATACTGTTCCGTTGGGCACATTTTCAGGTTTTCATAGTAATCTAGGTGAAGTGCTTTCTACCTCATTTCTAATCCTTTTTTGGCTAAACTGTTCATGCGTCCAGCTGGATTTCGCCTCTCTCGAGCACTAGCTATACTTTGTGCCTTTTACTCAGTCTTCGACATATTTTCTTCTGTCGCATACGATTACCTGATCCATTAGGATATGTGATTTTCAACCAATCTTACT